CTTTTTTATGTACTTTCAAAAGTTATTCATGTGCCATTGTCTATCACATCCACCTCCTCCAAGGTACATACCTATACATCTCTAAGACATAATCAGCAAATATCTTTATTTTAAGACCTCCAAGGAAATCGGATGGACATGGTGATTTGCTCACAATCCTTCCTCAATCTTTGGCTCTTGCCCATGCAATCCTCCATCTCCTTTGTAGTAAATTTTCCAAACCGCTCCTTCCTCCTTGCGCACACCATTCTAGCTAATTTATGGTGTAAAAATCCTAAAGTTAATGAGTAGGAGACAAAATTTTTTGGTGCACTTAGCTCTTTCAAATGATCTCCCATGGTGGTAAAGAAAACAGGTCGCAATCCCCCTTATTTCCCTTTCTTTTTCTTTTCATAGCAATTGTTTTCCCGACAAAACAACATGGCATAGACCTTTGAAAATTCGACAGGCAGCAAGATGGGATTTTCTTTTCTTGGAAGAGAATAGTTATGGCATTCAAAAAGAATTTGTTCTACCTTCTCGTCCCATATCAAAGGTATCTCTTTCAAGCATTTGGTTTGTTACCTTTTGAAGATTCTGAATTGTCCTCAATCTTGATTGATCCGCAAAGTCCTTCCATCAAAGTGTTTATTAGTAATTTTCAGTAACCCTTCATCATCATGGCTTGAAGATCTAGCATGGTGGAGCGAGCTCTTGTTGTGTTAACGGAATTTTGTGAAGCCTTATCTCATTTCTCTTGCCAATTTTCCTCCCTCAAATAGTCTAGGAAAAAGAATTGTTTGAAGGTTTATAACTGTCCTGTTGGAATTGTTTTCCATGAAAAAAGTTTAAAAGTTTGTTCCATTTGAGGACGTTTAATGTGGACTTCCATTAGCTCTAGAACTGGCCTGAAACTCATGGGTTAGTATTCAAAGAGAAAACACAAAAAGATTTGAATTATATTGGTAAAAATCACTCCCCTCACGTGTTTACACTCTTGAAGGAATCACGTCCCTATTGGCAGATTCTTGTTCTTCCAAATTGAACTCTTGCAATTCTTCCAATTGAACTTCAGAATCTTAGTTCAACCAACCAACTCAAAGGCACGTTTACAATCAAGGAATAAAAACTTAACAATGAAAAGCAATCACAAATTCTAGAAAGAAGACACAAAACAAGATGGATAGTAGCACAAGAACATAAACAATGCACTACTTTAATTATCAATTAGAGTGTAGTAAACAAGCAAATACATCCTAACAATGTAATAGAAGCAATAGAAAATAGAAGCAAAAGAAAAGCTCAAAACAAGAATAAAGAAACTAGAATTTAAAAGACAATTTCTGGATATAATGTATGAATTTAGTTTACTACAAAGCAAAACAAATATGGACCTAGTTAATTCTACCCCAAACAAAGCAAGCAATCAAAGAAAATCCAAAAATTAAAAAAAAAAAATTTAATAAGGTCAGAGCCTAGCACGGGCATGCTAGATAGAAAGCACGGGCGTGCTTGTATGGCTTGGTTCGAAAGTGAAAGTCAGAACCGGGCACGGGCGTGCTGACTTGTATCCTTCCTTATCCTTTCAATGTAACCCAATTTAGGTTGGATTAGATTTTGATAAGGATTGTAGTAGATATGCTTAATCTCAAAAGATATGGACAACTAATTCTTGTTACCTTATCCACAAAGTAGTTAAGATTAGATTTTTTCAAAAGGTTATAGTGGATAAGCTAAATCTCCACAAAATAAGGTCAAATCCTTAAGAATTAGGAACAAAATCCCTATGAATTAAGATCAAATCCCTATGAATTAGGAACAAAATCCACTCAAAACAATCAAGCTTTAATGGTGGACGAATTTTTCTTACTCTTTTTTTTTTTTTTTTTTTTTATATGGTCCAAATCTCCTAATCGAATTAGGATTTCAAATCCCCTTGGAATTCAAACAACAAACAAGATCCACACAAAGCAAATTTAATGGTGGATTCTGAAAAATTTTTAAATACTCTTTTTTTTTATTTTTTTTATTTTTTTTATTTTATTTAGTCAACACTGAAGATTAAGATCAAAACTGCTTCCAGTATTTTGGAACAGAGAAGCGGAAATGTAACAATTTTAATTTTGAAGCAAATTCGAAATTAGACTACGAGCAAAAACAAGAATCGACAAACACACGAACAAGAATCTTTAGATGAAGAAGAAAATCAAACACAAGAAAAGATGAAGAAAGAAAACAAACAACCAGAGCCAAGAGAACAAGAAACAATAAACACAAACCACTAGAACTAAGATAAAATAAGAAATTTAACCTTAATTCTTTGGGCTACTGAATACACCGCACTGACGACGGAACCCCGCCCCCAATGGAAATAAATTCCATGAACTCTATGACAAGTTTTGGAAGAGATCAATAATATCTAAATAAGACTCCCTCTATGGCACCTCTACCACAGCTTAAAAGAAGCAAGAAACAACCAATAATAGCGTAAAAAGAATAAGTAAACGCCAACAGAAGAATTGATTAAAGTTTACCTTGAAAATTCTTGATGCAATTAAGAAAGAATGCAATCTCAACAGTTGTACCCTCTGTAAAAGCAAGAAACACGCCTAAAGCATGGAAGAAAGAAGATCTCTCGTTTGTATTAATATATTGAATAATAATGTGATAAATTGAACAAAAATAACAAGCTATTTATACTAATTCGCTTAAAGAGGTCCAGATCCTGAAAGGATTTTAGAGTTAGTCTAACGGAGTAGGATTTAAAGCAAGTCTAAAACCCAACTAATGGGATATGACTAGCAAAATCTTAAACAATGCTATTAAGAAAATTTGGTTATATAAGTGCCAATCATGAAAGATTAGCTTAATTCTATAAATAAATTCTAAGATAAATGGAAATAATTAATCCAAACCAACTAAGGGATTAAAGGAGAGGATATTAAATCCAAACCAACTAAGGATTAGATGAGTAATTAAATCAATCCAAAAACCAAGCTAAGGATAGAGGAAGATAATTAATCCAAACCAACTGAGGAAAAATGGAATAATAAAATCACAAAACCAACTAAGGTTAAAATTAAAAGGGTGGCCCAATTTAATTTGGGTTGGCCAGCAAACCCATTAAACACATTATAGGAACTCAAAAACTAAGCAAAAATGGGCTAACTTATTACGCCAAATGTTAGGCATCCTAGTATGGCCAGGGCATTGCCCATATGCTTGGGAATTTTCAGGAATTTGATCTTCGACATGGATCTTCCATCCGAACATGTGAGATAACTTAAGAGGTGTTTCCTGTTCAAGTTCTTTCATTAGCACTTGTTGAAATAGCAGATCATGGAAGCTCTTGTGGTGACTTTGTTTTCGAAATATATAAGGATCCATGGTTGCTCCATAATCTTATTTGCAGGTTCCTTGTAATTGGTCCATCTAGGAAAGTACTGAATGGAATTGCCATTGTTGTGAATCCTTGTTTCCTGGAGTCCAATATGTGGTTGGTGATAGTTGGATGATCCGCATCCCTTACCTTGAAATTCTCCTAGGGAAGAAGGAAAAACAGCTAAGTTAAAGTAATTGGTCCACTAGGAAGTACTAATGGATTGCCATTGTTGTGATCCTTGTTCCCTTGAGCTCCATATGTGGTTGGTGATAGTGGATCCGCATCACCTTACCTGAAATCTCTAGGGAAAGAAAAACAGCTAAAGTTAGAAAAGAAACCAAGAGTCTGGCTTCTTTTTCTTTGTTGTGTTAACCATGCAGCAAAATTTACGTTGGTGTTGTGACTAGAATAATTAGTTTTGTTGAAATCCCACTGTACCTAGACATTCCTTGCAGTTCATAGGTACTGAGTAAAAAAAAGTTTGATTCTACTGAGGATATTTTGGAAAAAGCTCTGTTTTTGATTGCTTACTTAATATGTTCATTGCTAGTATCAGTTTAAATGAAAATTAGTATTTCCTAGTTATGTTAGGATTTCTTTTTCTGGCCAATTCTTTTTAAAAAGATATTTTCCCTTGTTGTTTTTTTATTGATTTCCTTAAGGAGCTTGTTAGTTTACAGTAAATTGGCCTGTAAATTTCTGATTACTATAATGTTAGAGACAAGTGCTTCCTAATTAGATTTAATGGCTGATTTTTTAGAACATTCTTGTTAAAAGAAATTATTTCCATTGAGCAAGTCCTACATCCTGCGCTTGCTTCATCTCCTCTGCTCATTCAGTTTGTTGTTTGGATCTGATCGGTTCCTGCACAGCTGTGCCATTCCATCTGTCATTTTCTTAAATGGTTCTTTTCCTGAGTTCTACATAAAGTTCGTTAACTAATATTTTGAAGAAATTTGAACTGTATTTGGTTCCTATGCTATCCTCATTTACGCTTTTGTGACAGCGATTCCCTTAAAGGAGCATCAACTGGAATGACTGTCGCTACCATTGTCTATTCTGTCACATATGGTTTCAGCACCTGATTTTTCCTCACCAGCCCCTTGCATCTCTGTCCTTCCCCTCCACTGCTGAAGGGGAAAAATGTCTCTTTCTCCTTTTCTCTAAATGGTGGAGGTTCTTGGTTTAATAGGGACTTCAGAACTTTTTGATTAACCTTGATTGCAATTAATACCATTAGGCCAATGCCTCCTTCCCCAAGAAAATGCTGCATACTTTAGTCATAGATGTCATTAGAGAGATTACCTGATGAAGATTATAACTATTATTATTAATATTTAAATTATTATTATTATTAATACTTAAATTTTCCTATATTTTGCTTTTGCATTTTGTTTCTGTTGAGTGGATTGGCTTTATCAAATTCATGATTTCTAGCTCTTTATTTTCAATTTGGAAATTTCTTTTTGTTCCATTTGGAGCTTGCTTAATCAAATTTGTTACACTTACAAGGAGATGACTTTATTTTGGTTTTACAAATTGAAGTTAGTGGAATTTATTTAGACTTTTGCATTTTTGTTTTTCATGGGTTGCTTACACCACTATACTTAATTTTTTCTTTTTCTCCACATTGGAATAGATTCTGAAGGCACATTCTGATGAAGTGTGGTTCTTACAATTTTCTCACAATGGGAAATACTTAGCTTCATCATCCAGCGATCAATCGGCAATCATATGGGAGGTATAACGAATTTTTTCTTTATGATGTTTTTAATTGTATTTTTCCTCTCCCTTCTCCCTTCTATCTTATTCATTCTACTCTATGGAATATGGGATCTAGATTGTTATAGATCATGTGTTAGGGCATATTTCTTTTCTCCCTTGCTAAGATTGCCATCTGTTCTCCTCTGGATAGATTTTTATAAATAGTGCTTCATGTTAGTCCTCTTTTGGATCTTTCTTTGTATTTTTATTTTATTTGTACAGTAGGGGGTTTATTTCTAATGGTTTTTCCATGGCTTTTATGCATGCAATATAGTGTATTTCTAGTACAGTGTCTTGACCAAGTAATCTATTTATGCTGCCATTGAAGCATCATTGTTTTTATCCTTTATCCTCTCTCTCTCTGAGTTTTGTTCTTTGTTATCTTTTGCACATCTTTATCTGGATTTGCCAAAATATAAAAGACATTCTTTTTGCACACTATATTGTGGTTCAACACATTGTACTTCAAATGGAAGCAGTTCCATGCTCAAACAAAAGAAGTCCAAAGTTCTCCTGTTCGATGAATGGAAAAAATCGTAGAATGTACAAATGAAATTGCTAGCATTATCTTGAGGTTATATTGTTTCAACATCATATTGTTTACAGCTGGGGGGTTGAGTGAAACCAATTGATCTAGCTAAACCAATCAATTGACCAGTCTAATTTTTTAAGCATCAAATGATTGTTGTAAATGGTCTAGGACTGATAGTTCCAATTTTAAAAAGCAGAAGGTGCATAAGTATCCTGGAGGTTTGATAAAATTTATGTCCCTGTAATTTAGTAGTGAATTAATAATCCTTCACTATTGGAATAACATACAATTTAAACTTGTTGGAGTGAGAGACTAGACATTAAACTAACACAAGTCACACACTGCACAGATTTTGTAACAATGAACCTCTAAAGGAGCTAAGTTTATTCATTGCAATAACTTTTATGTACATGAAATTTTACTTGGGATGAGTATAGAAGAGTGACCTTAGGACCGCACATCAACCCTTGTAAAGCCATACTGGCTTTTTTTGACTTACAAGTAAGCTAACTTTTTGTTGACGTAGAAGAGACGAAGAAAAATCTCAAAGAGTTTCTATTTCTATGTGTAATGGTAGTTTACATCAACCCTATTTATATACACAAGCCTATCTCTAAATAGAAAAGATACAGAAAAGGGAAGAACAAGAAATCCTCCAAAATAGGATATATAAAATATTCTATAATCATATAAGTCAACACAACCCCTCAAGTTGGTGCATAGATATTGCACATGCTTAATTGCAAATCAAATGTGAAATTGTTTTATGTTAAGCCCTTTAATAAAACATATCTGCAAACTAATTATTTGAGGTCCTATGAGTAAGTTTCAGAACAGCTTAGATAACTTTTCCTTTCATGAAATGTTGGCCAATCTCTATATGCTTCATTTGATCATTGTTGAATCGATTCTAAGCAATACTAATGGCTGCCTTGTTACCTCCATGGCTGTTAACCAAATGCTTTTGGAGGAACAATATATGAGGTATTACCATGTAAAACTTTTAATAGACTTTTAAAATTGAGTGTCTTAAGTGGCATTCTATTAATGAGATATGCTGCATAAGGCACTAATTCTCCCAACTAAGTCTTGGGTACATACGTTGTGAATAAAAGAGATCTAGCTACCTCTAGTGAATGCCTATTTTGCCTTTAAGAAATCCCATTTTGAGCACTCGTGTTTACATAGCTAGTTTGATGTATGATTCTGTTGGAGTCTAGATATGTTTGAAACACTCTATCCATATGCTTTGTTCTATTATTAGTTCTCAAAATTTTAGCCTTGCCATCAAACTGTATACTAATCATTCTATGAAAAGATTTAAAGTATAACACCCCTGGCATAGCAAGATATTGTCCGGTTTTGGCCCAATCCGCACGGTTTTGTTCCTGAGAGTGACGACCCATTACCCTCAAAAGGCCTCTATCTAGTATAAGGCTTGCCTATTCTTATATATATCACTTCAACTTTGTACTTAGCCGATGTGGCATTCGCCTAAGGTAAGCTAACATCTCAAGCTAGCACCTCATCTGGTGCGGATTTTACACTTCAACCCCAACACCACCAACACGACACCCCCCCCCCCCCAAGGCCTCTTCTGTATAAGGCTTTGCCTAATTCTTCAGTATATATCACTTCTAACGTTTGTACTTAGCCGGATTGTGGCATTCGCCTAAAGGTAAGCTGAACATCTGCAAGCTAGCACGCTCAAATCTGGTGGCGGATTTTACACTTCCGAACCCGCAACACCACCAACCCCCCCCCCCCCGCGGGCGCTCTTAGGGACTTAGCGTTCTCACTGAGCTTTGCCCCACCACCAGCCATAGGGACAAGGCTTAGAAAGTAATTGAAAACAGAGTAGCTGATGCTCTCTCAAGGAGATTTAAAGGGGGTCCTTCCTGCTTCAGCTTGACATTATCCTCAATTACCCCAAAATGGCTATAGGAAGTTCTAAATTCCTATGAAGGTGATAATGTATTGGCCCCTCCTATTGCTGCTCTAACCATAAACCCTCAAGAAGTGCCTATTTTTTCCTTATCAAGGGGATTAGTGAGATATAAAGGGAAAATATACATTGGAGCTACTACAGAACTCAGGTTGAGATTGATATCCCTATGCCATGAATCCCCTATTAGAGGCCAATGGGCAAATTGGCTAGACTACAACAATCCTTCTATTGGCCAGACTTGCAGAAATCTGTTATTGAATGGGTCCTGCAGTGTGACGAATGTAAAAGATGCAAGATTGAGTCCATTGCATATCCTGGTCTCCTTCAACCTCTCCCAACCCCCACCCAAGCCTGGCAGCATATTTCTATGGATTTCATAGAAAAACTACCCAAATCACAAGGTTTTGACACTATCCTAGTTGTCATCGATAGGCTCACTAAATCTGCCCATTTTATTCCTCTTGCCCACCCATTCAATGCTTCAAAGGTTGCTCATGTATTCCTAGATCATGTATTTAAGCTCCATGGCATGTTTATCACACTTTAACAGAGTACTTATTGAGTAACACTTAGGAGAATCTACAGTCTAGTGAGTGTGCGACTCGAACCTTTGAACAAGGTTTTGACACTATCCTAGTTGTCATCGATAGGCTCACTAAATCTGCCCATTTTATTCCTCTTGCCCACCCATTCAATGCTTCAAAGGTTGCTCATGTATTCCTAGATCATGTATTTAAGCTCCATGGCATGCCTGAGACAATAGTCTCTGATAATCACTAGCAGCTTTTGGAAAGAACTCATGAAACTATTAGGGTCACAGCTACAGTTCAGCTTTGCATACCACCCCCATACTGATGGCCAAACTGAGAGGCTCAATAGATGCATTGAATCATATCTGAGGTGTATGACTTTTCAAAAGCCAAACTAGGGGAGCAAGTGGCTCAGTCTAGCTGAATATTGGTATAATACCAATCACCACAGTGCCATTAATATGAGTCCCTTCTAGGCTCTCTATGGGTACAGCCGTACTCTACCAACCCTCCATTTGAGTCCCTTCTAGGCTCTCTATGGGTACAGCCGTACTCTACTGGGTTTACCTCAAAATTCAGCCCTATAGGCAAGCTACTCTAGCCCTTAGAAGATCTCTTAAACTCACAGCAAAGTATTATGAGCCATTTCTGATAATAGACAAGATTGGCAAAGGTAGCTTACAAGCTCAAGTTACCTCCTAATTGCATGATAGACCCCGAATTCCATGTTTCTCTACTCAAGAAAAAGATTGGGAACAATGCTACTCCCACCCTAGAGCTGCCTAAGCTAATTGATGGGGAATTTGTCATTACACCTGAAAAAGTGCCCAACACTCGCACCATGTCATTAGGAGACTCTTATGTTCAGCAACTATTGATTAAGTGGGTGAACCTATCTGCTTTAAATGCTACTTGGGAAGACAGCTCTTTCATTAAACAGCAATTTCCCTAGTTTTTCCATTCTTGTGGACAAGAATGCAGTCAAGGAGGGGGTATTGTTACATATAAGAGAAAGGGTAGAAATGTACTTAGGAATTGATGTACCTAAGAAACAAAAATGGTTAGTTAGAATATTCCTACAGTACTAGACACAGCTGGTGTGACAGCTATATTGTCCTTTATTCTGCTTTTTTCCCTATAGCGTATACGGTCTCATTAGAGCAAGAATATGCAATTCAGTAATGCAATCAATTCTCTCGCTGGTGTGACAGCTATTGTCCTTTATTCTCTTTTTTCCTATACGTATACGTCTCATTAGAGGCAAGAATATCCAATTCAGTAATGCAATCAATTCCTCTCTCTCTCTCTCTCTCTCTCATTCTCTTCTTTTCTTCTCCTATTCTGCTTATCTTTCTATTCTCAGACCTGCTGCACCTCTACCCGCCCTATTTTACTCAAATAGTTAGGAATATTCCTAACAGGATGTTACATAAAGCTAGAAAATACTTTGCTTTTATCAAATAAACCCAAGTTAATCTAATACAATAGTCAATAAAGGTAAGAAACCATTTAACCACACAATGGAACAGTAGAAGTAGGTCCCTATATATCCGAATAAATTGTCATAGAAGGAATTCTATAAGAGACTGTCGACTTCCCTCTTACTGATCACTGATGATCTTAGGTTTCTCTCTTAATGAGCCCTAATCTATTCTTAAATTCCATCAAACAGACCCATAACTAGATTAGTTGTTGGGACCATAACAGAATCCTATAAGATCATATATACTTTCTCCTCCAATTCTATCTTATATGCTTGCATTAAAGCACTTGCGTATGATCTATGATGCTCAACTTGTCATCTAATTGAGTATTGATTGTGGGCACCATGCCTTATTTTTGTTCTTCATGGGTTTTACTGAAACATTATGTTGGGGCTTTGTTATTCATCATCTGAAGCAATATGACAATTGCAGTATTTGTTGATGCACAAAAAGTCTAGAACTTTTTAAACCCATTGTTTATGT